TTTTGAACGGGGTTGAGCAGGGTGGGTACGCATGAGGAAAAAAACGGCCCTCCTCTGCTCGTGCCTTGGGGCACGCTTTTCTGATAAAAAGCCTTTAAAGCCTCTCTCTGAATAACAGAACCGAGGCGTCGTCCTCAAACCGACAAGGGTTCCGACGTGACCACCAGGCACGTTTCCACGTTCTTCCCTCTTCCGTGTCCTGGATTGAAAGCGTCGTCAGCTGCGCTGGGAGCCACCCTCGCTCGCCAAGGATGTGAGCGCGAGGGGATAATGTTATTAACGCGCGCGAGGTAATGAATGAACACGCGCCACCCACGGTCCTCTCTGTGGACTCGTGTCGTCCTAGCGGGCGTCACGCCTGAGGAAAAAAAAGCGCAGAAGGAAGAAAGGTGGCAACCTCGGGCGGCCGCTAGAGGGCTCCGCCTCTGGCTAAAGGCGGGAAGGTGGCTTTCTCTCCCCACGCCCGGCTACCCACCGGGCTATTGGAGGCGAGGTCGCCCGCTGGTGCAAATGCTTTTGCTGCTGCCGGTGGCGCTGGAGGGCGGCTTGTGCTCTCCGAGGGGGCCTTCCAGGCAGAGGGAGCACCGCCTCGTCTTGCAGCCCTTGCATCAGGCCGCCTGCCTTAAGAAGTGGACGCCGTCCCGCCGTCTCTCCTCCTGCCCCAGGTGAGTGAAGCAGGAGAGGAAGACGAGGCGATTTTGCAGGATGCTGCTACTCCTTTGTGCTTGAGTGGGATTGGCGGGCTTGAAAAAAGCCTCCGTGAGGCGGTTTTAAAGTTAAATTCTTGGACGAGAGCAAGTAAAAGTGGCCCTGCTGGTTGGGGGGTGGATGCTGGGAGTTGTAGTCAACAAAAGTAATGTTGCCGCGCTGCCTGGTCAGGTGGCCCGAGGCTTCAGGATTTGTCGTTCTGGCGCGTGTTGGGGTTGTGGCCGAGGAAAACTTGTAATAAAACATTCCTGCTTGGAGTGGCAAGTGAAAAAGGGGCCTGTCTTGTCTGAATGTCGTCTTTTTTGCTCTCCTCCACAGGTGGCAGAATGACTGGGGACCATCCTGAACTCGTGTTGGCAGGAAGGCGCTTGTGAATATGGCTCAAGTAAGGGAAGAAAGCGGTTTTACGGGGGTGAAAAAGATGTTAAGGGAAAACCAGGTGCAATGATAGGAGAAGCTTCCTACTTGTAGGGGGGGAGGTATATACTGTATTTTATAACATGGGAATATACAGTCCAAGTGCTACAAAAAGTTGTTCCTCTTCCATGGAGAAAAGTGGTTGTACTGATGGTGATTATGACACAAAAAACAGCACTTGTTCAATGCATTTAAAGTTGTTCATGTAACAAACTATTCTTACAGCATTCCTATATTATTTGGCTTCTACTGAAAGTAGGAAAGGCACCCATGTACAACAATGGGTGGGACTGGTCACTCATGAGGAGTGATCATCTGTACCCAGGCATACATTTTACATTTATGTGCTTTATTTTATTTTGCCACCTACAGGGGATGTGAATCACTAAAGCAGATTTTTTTTCCAGACCTTTGGGTAAACAAGTATAAGAAGAGTTGTACTGGGCTCACTGGGCATGATCCTACTTCCTGTGCATACATGTTCAGAAAATGTTTCAACTGTGAACTGTATTGAATATTTGTGGCACTGATAACAAGAATTCTATCTGAAAAGTACTGAGGTGTTCTCACATCTGTTTTATTATATGTATATTGGCACAAATTTAAAAAAGCAATTGTGTGGGGGAGTGAACAGACCTCAACTGTAAACTTTATAAAAGCTACAGATATGAGCATAAGGCTAGTAGTGAAGAAAGTGGTTAAGAGATTACTTTAATAAGAGCTGGTGTAGTGTAGCCGTAGCGGATGGTGTCTCAGTCTGCAGTTTGAAAGAAAAAAAGCCATGTTGTCCTTGTACACAATCTGAAGACAATGGTAGGTAATACCTTTGGTAGACAGCAGATAAAGGAATTACTGTACCTTCATAATACAGCTCAGGACATGGGGGGGGAGGTTCAGATCCCTTCTTGGCCATGGAGTCTCCCTGGGGGCAGCAGTGGTAAACCACTAATCTCATATACTTTGAAAACCCTGTTAGGGTTACCATAAATCAGAAGTACTGTAACTTGATAGTAACAATGTACTGTACTTTATTAGCTTCTTTGTAATGCTTCAAACTGCTCTGCTGTAGGTACCTGGCAAAATGAATATCAAGTGTCCATTCATGAGTACAAAGTGATGAGGCCTAATTTACTCATTACAGTACATTTTATTCCATTTCTCAAAGCAGCTTAGGGCACATAATAGACCATGAAGCTCACTGGGTTAACTTTGGGCTGTTCTCTTTCTCAGTGCAGTTCAGAGGATGAATGGGGGGAGGAGAGGTCTCTGAAGGAAATGCAAGATGCAAATGTAACTAATAAATGAATATGTGGCTAGTCTCCTTCCCAACAAGGTGGAAAAGAGTAAGATGAGAATCATCCAATGTCCTTTGTAGCTAATAATTGTGTGCTGTCTAGTATAGGCCTTATTAATTGTGTGCTGTCTAGTATAGGCCTGATGGGCTGTTCTCTTTCTCAGTGCAGTTCAGAGGATGAATGGGGGGAGGAGAGGTCTCTGAAGGAAATGCAAGATGCAAATGTAACTAATAAATGAATATGTGGCTAGTCTCCTTCCCAACAAGGTGGAAAAGAGTAAGATGAGAATCATCCAATGTCCTTTGTAGCTAATAATTGTGTGCTGTCTAGTATAGGCCTGATTATGTCACTCACTACACCACACTGGGAATACCTGTGGGTCTATAGAGCCTGATTATTTTCTCTCTAATGAGAGAGACAAACAGACTTGGTCTCTTGTGCTTGATCTGTAGTAGATCAGCAAAGATTTCTCACACTCAAAGGCTGTCACAGCCGGGATCTGAGGGTTGTGGTAGGTTTTGCAGCCCGAAAAACCTAGAACCATTCTTACACTCTTGTGTGGTCTTAAGAACAGCAACCTGGTGCCGCTGAACTTAACGAAGGAAGCTTTGGGGTGAAGGTTAACCCAGACTTGCACTTTCTGTGGAAATACTATGGGTTGTATTAGGTTTGTAACTGTGATATTAAATATTTATATCACATCAACATAATGGAAAACTTGGGGCCACATTGACCACTTGGGCAGAAAGGCAGGATGTAATTTTAAAATTGCATTTATGTTAATGGACATCCTGAGAAACAAGTCATATTTAATCCCACTGAGTCATAAATTCCTGTGTTACCCAGAGAATATCTTTCCATGAACTGTGGTTTAGTCTAAATTTTCTCCACTTCCCAGTTTTAAAGACACATGTAATGCCACCCAAACAGGTACTAAACAGAATTCATAGCATTCAACTTGATGATAATGGAGAGAAAGCTTTAGATGTGTGCTTATTCTTAAACAATTGTTATGCAGCAATTAAAAACATGGTATCTCCTTCCATAAGAAAAGAGATGGTGGGACATTCCTTAGGGTATTAAGCTACCCAAATAAGCAATTTCCTGCCATTTGTTTCTTTTTATCTCCCTGTCATTCTGGAACAGCTTTTGCTTTGGGTCATTTTTTTCAGCCAGTAGCTGAAATTTAATTTATCCATAGAAGGGAGAGACCTCTGAGCAGTTTCCAGACCTATTCAGAAATAGTCTCACTGTTTCCTCTAGGGCCTACTTGCAGATAAATAAGCACAAAACAATGGATTTTATGTTATTTTTCACTTATTTATGTCATGTAAGGTACATACTACTATTTTTCCAATTATCCTTTGTCTATAAATTCTTAAGGAAAAATGGGTGTACATAGCTTTCCTTCCTTATTGTCATAGTGAGCCTTTTTGAGTTAATTTCCTGCTCAATGTAGAAGTGATTATGAATTGTACTTTGCATGTTGCAAACCAAAAAGTGAAATAATGGTGCAGGTATATTTTTCATGTTAATCTGCATATAATTGAACCTGTGATTTCCAGTTTTGGGGGGATTATAGGAAGGATCTTTAAATCTTTTAATCTTTTTAAAGAGAACTGTGTTAGTCTGTGTAAATATATCAGAGAGAGAGAGAGAGAGAAATATTGGGGCATATTAAAGACTGTTATATTTAATGTAAACTTTCATGGATCAATTCTATTAGAATGAGACTATGTCATCTTCCCAAAAAGATGTTGGGAAAGTGTGAAGGCAAGAGGAGAAGGGGACGACAGAGGACGGGATGTTTGGACAGTGTCACCAAAGCTACCAACATGAATTTGACCAAACTCTGGGAGGCAGCGGAAGATGGGAGGGCCTGGCGTGCTCTGGTCCATGGGGTCATGAAGGTTCACGGCTTAACGATTAAACAGCAATGTCATCTTTAGCCATTGCTTTTTAGGGGAGAAGGACTGATATTCTAGGGAGGAATATATGCAATATTTATGGTGTTATAACTTTATGGTGCTATAACATAACTTTAACTTATGTTAAGACTTTAACAGCATAAATAGATCATATATAAACTTAGTGTATGAAACTACTGTATACGATTTGGTATATTCATGAAATGTGCTGGTGAATCTTATAGATGTTTACTCACATGTAAGATTCATTCTGTTTAGTGGAACCCACCTAAGTTAGTGTGTCTAGAAATACAGATTCAAAAATATGAGTATTCATAGGCTTAAATCCAGTTTGTGGTCCCAACAAGAACAGAACTGAATCAGTTGCTTACATAAATCCATTTGATTCAGTAGATCTACCCTACTTAGGACTACCAATTGGATTCAGTCCAGAGTTTTGTACAGGGAAAACTGAGAAAATAAGAACTAGGCACATATTTGCATGTGCAGTTAACTTTTGTGTCAGAGTTGAAATTTTAAATGGTAAATAGTTCTGTAGGAGGGTGCCTGTATCACAGCCATTTTGAGACAAGACATGAAAATGTGAACTACAATGAAGGGCTGAGGGCAAAAAGAAAGAGGATCCATAATAGCTGCCAGTATCTCCAAACTAGAGGCAGTTTTCTCATTTTCTGTGTTTTTATTTTAGGAGGGAAACTGATTGCTCAGTTTTGCTTATTTCTGAGTGTTTTGATTCTTAGGGTGGTGGTACTGTTTGATGGTGGTTTATTGCATCTCGGTGGATATGGTTTTAATTCTATGTATTTTTTTTATTCCTGAAAGTGCTTTCTCAGTTGTTTTCTTGTTCTTCTGTGGGATGTGGGGGTGGGGGAAGAGAACAAGGAAAAAAAGTTTTTAAAATGATCCTAGGCGAATCTCTGATTTTAGATTTTGAAAAAAAAAGCCATATAATTTGTATGTATAGCAAGCAACTAAATGCAGTCATACTGGAGGTTCCATTATCGATCTGCCTGCAATCAATCCAGGAGCTCATTTTTGCCTTTGGCAAAATGTGTATCTTTCAAAAAAGAGAAAGGAAAGAAACAGTATTCTGCTGTGTGCATTCAGAGGCCTAATCCAAGGCCAAATGAAGAGACATTCAATAAGAGTTTAAGAGCAAATGAGCAAATGAATTTCTGAAAATTGGAGATAGCTGTTAATTTGACATTATTCAGGATCCTTCCAGAAAATGGGTTGATTCTTGTTTTTACCAATTTTATCTAGTTGCAGTTCTAGTTGTTATGTTGTTATACAGGTGGGCTTTATACCATGTTCAAAGTTTATTGGAGACTGATTTGATAACTATGCAATTTAAAGGAAAAAAGACTTTTAAAACATCACCCACCAATAAACGGTTTAATATTCCACTGTATTAATTCATTAGTTTCCACCCTTTGAAGAGGTACTCTTTTGCACAAAACTCAGAAGCCTTCTAGGGATGGCTACGGAATTCTGGGAATTGTAATTTTTTAAAAATTCTGAGCTTTAATTAAGGGGATTTTTGTTTGTTTGTTTATTTTACTGAAGGCGGTATTTACAACATATACAGTAAAGAAATAGACTGAGGTTGTGTCAAGACCCTCAGTCATGTCACTGGTTCTAGTCTAATACTGTAACCACTACCCCACATTGTTCCTTATCAGCCATCTAGCGACTAGCACTGCAGATTCTAAATGAGGGCCTTTCTCCCCCTCTCCTGCTCTCCAAGGTCCCAGAAGCTTTTGTGGAAGTGACTGTGTCTTCAACTGGAGGGCTGCGCTCCCTTGTAAGCCGTCATCCCCAGAAAGCCTTACATAAGAATACCATGCAGGAAGACTACACGATCAAGGCTTCACTAGGTAAGAATTCCTAAATAATTAATATATGGTCATTATGGCTTTATGATGGTGGCAGGCAAAATCCAGCCCATGTGGTCCTTGGGACATTTTTGCCATCCACAAGGGTCGCCAAGAGGTCTCATCAGAAGAAAAACGAAAATTGCTTTTAATTAACTTTTTAAAATTTTTTAATCTTTTTGTACCAAAAAAGTAATATTCCAGCTCATGTCCAAGAGCAGTAGTTCCCACTTTATGGGTCTCCTAAGACCCCACCCTCACCCCTACTTCCAAATACTGTACAGTGGTGCCCCGCATAGCATACCCCTACTTCGAAATACAGTGGTGCCCCGCATAGTGATGATAATCCATTCCGGATAAATCGTCGCTATCCGGATTCGTCACTATGCGAAATAAAAAAGCTCATAGGAATGCATTAAAACGTGTTTAATGCGTTCCTATGGACTTAAAAACTCACCTTATGCAAAAATCTTCCATGGGGCGGCCATTTTCAGTGCCTCTAAAGCGAGGCAACACAGCGGGTGGCCATTTTGGAACCGCCGATCAGCTGTGCGAAAAAGGGGCCTTTGGGAGGACCGCGGCCGTGGTCCTTCTGAAGCTCCCGCTGGTCAGCTGGGGGAAAATGCCTGCTGGGGCTTTGCGAGGACCGCAGGGGAGGGCTCCCCTGCCGTCCTTCCCAAGCCCCCGCCGGTCAGCTGGGGGAAAATGGGTCATAGGGAACATCACAATGAGATCGCAAAAGCGATCGCAAAATCTTCATCGCTATGCGGATTCGTCATTAAACGGGGCGCCCGTTAAGCAAGGCACTACTGTATAAAAGTATCTATCTGAGCATCTCTTCCTTACTTCTTTTCTAAGGACTGAAACCTTCAATTTTGGGGCTTCTTGCAGCCCTTCTCAGTCTTCCCCATAATTTCAGAGGACCTGCATCTGAAATGCTTTTTAATCGGCATCCAAGACAAGCTTCCTCAGCACAACCAGAATTTTGCTTTGTGTTTCACCCTGTGTAAGGGCAACATGACTGAAAGAACAGCCAGTCAAGGAAAGACGGCCTCTGGCACACCCAGATCCACTGTGTGTTCTGTTGAAATTCCTAATTTGGTTTCATGAAAAACCAACTTTAGAAATGAAAGCTCACACTTTTGGTATTTTGTAGCATTCCTCATTGTTTGATATCCATAGGCTCTGTGGCAGAATCAAGGCCAAATATTACTTAGGAATACTTTGTACAACTTTCTTGTGCAGTTTTCATTGTTACAGTTGGATGGCGATGTACGCTTTTATGTTGGTTGGTGTATGTAATTGAGACACTGACATCATCAGCACGTTCAGACTGCTTAAGATCAATTACCTAGTCATAAGCCTTATAGCAATGCTATAACTTCTCTTAGTGTTCTTTATTTATTACAGTAATGTTTCTTTTCTTACCTTGTAGCATATCCTTATTGTTTCCTGTGTGGATAGTAATGTTTCTTTTCTTACCTTTGGTGAGTTCAAGGTAGCATATCCTTATTGTTTCCTGTGTGGACAGCATCTTCTGTCCAAGATAACACCCATAAATATGGAGCCTCCTCCCACTATATCATCAGTCATTTAGCGGAGCTGTAAAACAGACATCCCCCCCCCAAAAAATAAAGTACTGTACTCACTACACGTCACAAATTACTGGTTATGTATCAAATAAAATGGCTCCTTTTAGTAATGAAATATGATCAATAACATGCTTTATGAAAGTTCTTATTGTCAACAATGTACATTAAAGTTTTGAATATAACGTGATGTAAAAATAATACAGAGCACTTGAATGTGCTTATTATCATATTATCCACTTAATGTGCTGTGCCCCTTGTCTTTCTTTGTATAATCCGTGAAGAAGCTGTTTGAGTCAAAATATGTTGGGTAGGTTTTAAAAATAACAATAAATCTACATTTTTATACCTTTTGAGACTTTTGTCTCTTTCATGACTGGATGTTACCAGTTTCTTTTGCTTTTTCCATACCTTGGCTCTTCTTAGCCTATCCACCATCTTGCAGATGAAAAGGGATAGGTTGGGAGCAGGAGTTTCGCCTAAGTCCACCTAATGAGTTCATGGCAGAGAGATGATTCAAACCAAGAAAGCCAGTGCCTTTTGCCACCATGCTGTGGCCTCTGTCTTTTTATTTATTTACTTGTTTTCATATATTTTTCATATATTGATGCTGTAACTATCTGTTCATATCCCCCGCAGGAGGATTCCCTATTCACACCTCTGAACTGCTGACCCGCCTGGACCGTGGGGAAGTGGCCTGGGTCCCAGATCTCCAGAGCTCTGATGAGAGCACAGATGAAGGCCCAGTGAAGCCCACACTGAAGCGATGGCCAAAGGGAGGGGCCTGGTGGGATCGGTACAGAAGTCCAGCAAAGTACCCCAGTTCAGATTCCAGCAGTTCAGGTCAGAACTATTCACAAAAAGTTTTAAGTTAAAGCAACAATGGACATATTCCGGGGGTGGGTGGGAAGCATTTCCCTTAACCTGCTTTGCAACTTTTTGGCAGTACATTACGACGTTAATTCGTTCCAGCGAAATTGCTGTAGAATGAAAACGTAATGTGAAAATAAAAAACCCATTGAAACACATTAAAACCCGTTTAATGCATTCCAATGGGCTAAAAACTCACCGTCCAGCGAAGATCCTCCATAGGGCAGCCATTTTCGGTGGCTGTCTTGCGAGGAGTCCATCCCAGGAAACAGCGGGGAGCCATTTTATTTACCATTTTGAAACTGCCGATCAGCTGTAGGAATATCGTTGTTTTGCGAAGAATCGGTTCCGAAGCAGGGAACCGATCATCGCAAAGTGAAAAAAGCCTATTCAGACTATCGTTTTGCGATCGTAAAAACGTTGTAAAGTGGTTTTGTCGTAATGCAGGGCAATCGTAGAAAATGTCGTAAAGCGGTTTTGTCATAATGCAGGGCAGTCGTAAAGTGGGGCACGACTGTATGGGGATGGCGATGCTACCAGTACTTTAAAGGAAATTGATGGAGCGTGCATGGGATGGCGAAGCTACCAATACTTTAAAGGAAATTGATGGAGCGTGCATCTTGTTTGCAAGCTAAACGGCACTTCTTGGAACTTACAGGCATTCAGTTCAGCTTGGGAAAAAGGTGTATATTCTCTGTACACTTTGTTCTCCATAGCTGTTGCTGAGGTTTTACGGAAAGACAAATAACTCTGCATGATCTTCTAAGGAAAGAGGAAGAAGCTAACTCTGTGCATGATCTTCTAAGGAAAGAGGAAGAAGATTTTATCTCCATTTTGATACATTTTCCACACTCTTCTCCTCCGCTGAATTCTTTCTCTGCTTTTCTTTTGTCGCTATTGGCAACCTGTTTCCCCTCCTGTTTGCTTCTAGATGATGACCAAAGGAGTGAGGTGGAAGGTGAGAAACCTCAGCGTAGTCATAGGCTGACGATACTTCGCCGAAGTGTACTTGACATTTGTAGGGGGAACAGATTCCAGAGTGTAAAGACAAAAGAGTCCCTTAATAACGGATCCCAGTCTAAGAGATCCCAAGGAAGCCAGAGCAACTTAATTGAAGCAGGTGACGTCCGTGAGAACACAGTCAAGGAGAGGGTGGCAGAAGAGGAACAGCAGTTCTCCTGCCTTACCTGTGGCCAGTTCTTTAAGTCAAAAATATCCCTTTCCAATCACCAGAGAATACACTTTAAAGAGAATGCCACCTATGAATGCTCTTTCTGTGGGAAAAAGTTTGCAATCCAGAAGAAGCTTACTGCTCATCAGAGAAGCCATGCAAGAGAGAAGGATGACAACCATCCAAGCAGAGCTACAGAGAATCTAAAAACCTGCCCAGAAGAGATGCCTTATAAATGTCTAGAGTGCAAGAAATGCTTTACGCTGAAGGACCACCTCTTACTACATCAAAGGAGACACACAGCAGAAAAGCCCCATAAATGCTCTGAGTGTGGGAAAAGCTACATTCGGAAAGAACATCTTGCCAGACACCAAAAAATCCACCAAGGTCCAAAAACTAATACATCTCCTGAGAAGAAAGTGACAGTGGAAGATTCACCTGAAACCTCTGAAAAAAGATCATCTACAGCCCTCGTCCGTGAAATAACCAGCTTATCAGATGTTGGCACCACTAACTATCAGGAAACCCAAACAAGTCTGTACAAATGCCAGTTTTGTGGGAAATACCTCAGATCGAAAACTTTGCTTGTGGATCATGAGAGAATTCATAGGGAACTGAGACCCTATAAGTGTCCCCAGTGCCAGAAAAGCTTTCATTTTAAATATCGTCTAAATATGCACCAAAAGATTCATATGAGACAAGCAGACTGCCAATATCGTGGGAGATGTCCGAGTACAACTGTTCCACTTGCTAAACATGAGAAGCTCCATACCAGAAAGAGACCCTATAATTCTTATAAATGTCCCAAAGGTTTCATTCAGAAACCCCACCTGCTTCGACACCAGGAGACCAATGTGAAGCGAAAAGGCTTTATCAAGAGAACAAACAGCCTAACTGCACTTGAAGGAATCTTTACAGAACCAAACCTGTGTAAGGGCCCCATCCACATGCAGTCTGTCACGCACAACTCAGGCCTTGCCACGTACCAGAAAAGCCATACAAAGGGCAAGTGTTATAAATGTCAGAATTGTGGAAAACGTATGAAAAAGAAGGCCTTTCTCATAAATCATATGAAAATCCACAGGAAAAAAAAGAAATATCAATGTTGGAAATGTTGGGAAAGCTTTTCTCAGAAGAACCACCTTGCTGTCCACCAGAGAAGGCATGTGAGAGAAAAGCTTTCCATATGCTTGGACTCTGACAGAAAACGTACCAAAAAAAAGACCCTGTCCACTCACAAACATGAGAATCTCCTCACCAAAAAACTGTCATGCTGCTACTGCAGTAAAAGCTTTGACAATAATTATTCTCTGACCAGGCATGAAAAGATCCACTCAGGGGAAAAGCCCTTCAGATGTGCAATATGTGATAAAGGTTTCATTGAAAGCTACAACCTGAAGAGACATGAGAAAACCCATTTGAAAGGAAGTGGCTTTAAACATCACAGGATGCCCTTGCTGCAAAGACCTTTCACATGTGCCGTGTGTGGAAAAGGCTTTGTTCATACGTTGAATTTGAAGAGACATGTGAAAACCCACCTGAAAAAAAATGGCTACAAACAGCCCACTATAGCTGAGGTAAGCCATGTGTTCTCCAATTGCATGAATGATATTTACTTTCAGGGGAAGGGCCATGGGGGTCCACCTGAAAACATTAAACGACAGGCAGCATCAAAAACAGCTGAAAACGATTCTTTAGAGGACACCAGTGAGTCAGAAACAGAACCTCAGGCAGTATTAGGTAAAGGATCTAAAACAGGAACTCCTAGAGGTTCCGAACAGCGAAAAATGCAGGTCAAGGTAGATGTAGAATCATCCAGAAAAAGAAAAAGACATTGTCAACAAAACTACAGAGGAGTCTCTGCCAACCAGGTAATGACACCAAAGAAGAAGCTAAGAAAAGAAGACAATGTTATTCTGCATTACAAAGAAGACGAACACTTCATCCATCAGCAGAATGAACCACAGAAGAATTCTGAAAAGATCCATCTCCGGAGTTGTGAAATGGTTGGTTGGCAGTTGAGATCGCAGGCCATGCCAAGAAGAAAATCGCAGAGAGGGGTACGTCCGGCTGGTCAGCGAGTCAGATCTTGCTTCTGTCAGAAGGAGGGAGTAGAGATGGCACCAAGGAAGATACCCTCAAACTCCAGAATCTGCAAGAAATCCCAAAACTCCCAAGTTTGCAGAAAGCTAAAAGCTTGTTCTCAAGGGCCCCCAAATACAACTGTTTCCTCTGAGTTGTTTAAAAGTAGCCCAAAGAATGGTAAATCAGGAAGACCCTGTGTTAGTCTGCCATTCCAGAGAACATTGCCTGAAGAATCCAAAATGGAGGCTACTGAAAGTGCTACATCAGAGTGGTTGGGTTGTTCTGAAAAGGAAAGAGGGTTACAGAAAATGTTAGGAAAAGAACTGGAAGACAGTGCCAACTCTCAGAGCCGCAGGACCAAAAAATGCCAGGCATACAATGCCACTGACAAGGCAGAGTCTCAAGTTTCACCATTGGTGTCAGGAAGTGACATCGAACAGAATGGCCTCTCAAATGCAGCTCTTCAGAAAGTGGCAACAGCATCCATTGGACAGCAAATGGAAGCACAGTCAATGTCAGCAGGAGAACCTTTTTCATATAGTCGTGAGGAAGGAGGAGGTTGCACTGAAACAGTGAGAGAACTGCAAAGTAGTGCTTGTCAGAGAGAAATCATTGCTGGTCAACAGGCTAAACATGTTTGCACACAGTGTAACAAGTCCTTCAGGAGCCGAGAAAACCTTTTTGTACATGAGAAGAACCACAGAGAGACTAGGCCCTTTGCATGCATTCATTGCAAGAAAAGCTTCTACACAGTGCAGTCCCTTAAAACTCATGTGAGAATTCATACAGGAGAAAAGCCATTCAGATGCACCGAATGTGATTTCTGTGCTAACACGAGTTCTGCTCTCCACCATCACCGGAAAACCCACAGCCAGTGGAAACCCTATTCGTGCCAGCAGTGCAAAGAAAGCTTCTGGTTCGTCCACAGCCTTATCCTCCATTTGGGGGTCCACAATACAAAAGAGCCCTACATGTGCTCAGACTGCGGGCGCAAATTTGCGCGCAAGAATGGGCTCATTCTGCATAGGAAAGCTAAACACAGTTCAAAAGCTGCAGAGTAAGCCTATAGGGTCCTTCTGCGGGTGAGGTAAGCATGTGCAAAGATTCCCAGTACATGTGCTCACTGCAACAACACGGAAGTGTTACAGTACACTTCACCATGCTATGCCAAGACTGAGAAGAACACATGCATGTGCTTTTTGGGTTTACTTTCTTCCACATCTGTGGAGGATCGTAACATCTTTCAGCCAGGCAGACCTTCCTAACACTATGCAATAGCTCATCCGTTGTGCCTGGGCCAACTCTTCCTGCATGTAGAGGCTATGACCAAAGTATGTTTATTACTTGCCAGGTGATACCTCTCTGAACAACACCAGGAATTTTAATTTGAACCATCATAAGTATATTCCTCCCACCACACACCCACACACCCCAAATCTTTTGGAAGCAAAAGAACAAAAATATGAGCCAAACACTTTTATAAGATGGTTACAGTAATAAGTGGGGAGTGGGTTAGAATGATGTTGAATATATAATTTTAATTCAGGGTGGGAAACTTCTGAGATGTTGTTAGGCCATTTTTTTACCCCACATTGGGCTTTGGAGGCCTGCATACCTCCATTACACATCCCTCCCTCTGTTGGTCACTTCTAGTTTAAAAAATTCCTTTTTGGCCTAAAAACAAGCCTTGGGGCAGAAGTGAATAAAATGGCAAATACAGGCAGTTTATTGTTACGAGGAGGGATAAATATTGAGGGGCTTGGAAATTTTTGTGCGGCCAATGGGCTGCATTTGGCCTACCTGTTTTAAATAAGGATTGAAAGCCATTTTGACAGATACTGTTTTACTGCTCTAGTTTTTTACTGCCTTCTTTCCTGCCTGTGAAACCACCCCTCTGATTTCTTCTGGGGTTGAGCAAGAACTATGAAGTGCCTTTTGTTAGATAGTTTTCAGGATCCATTCCCGTTCTCACCACTTAATGCCATTTATAAATATTTTGTAATTTTTTGTTATGTAATAAAACTCAATTATATCTCAGATTTCTCTCTTGCTTGTGCCCTACAGATTTTATATAGGTTAGTATAACTGGTTGGTTTTAACTGATATTCTGTCTTCTGGAAAAAAAATATTTGTTTGTTTATTTTATTTATAGGCTGCCTTTCTCTCGATAACGGGGATCCAAGGTGGCTCACAATATTAAAAGGAACAGAATTAAAAACATAAAAAGTTAAATATTTAAAAAAACCTATGCTAATTAAAATACAATTGAATAGTTAGAAGCAAGGTAGCACTAAAGATTATCTTAACTCTTTAAAAAGGCATTCAAGGACTCAGTTATTAAAAGCCTGCCTGAAAAGGAGGGACTTCAGCCCATCTCTTTCATGGAGTCATGAGGAGGGAGGAAATCAGTCTGATCTCCGGAGGAGATTCCATAGCCTGGGAGCTGCCACAGAGAAGGCCTTCTCTCCTGATGAGCTAGAAAAGATCACATGGTGGCATTACAATTAATGGCAGTCTCTTTCTTCAATCCCACCATTCCACAGCTTTCCATAGATGGGAGACATGGCCTGTCAAAGCAAATGATGAATTTCTAGGATTTATTGTTGAGGGAAATATTTTGACCCCAGGCCTAAAACCAAAAGAGAAGACTAGAAGACACTCCTTAAAATACCTGTTAAATTTTTCAAGATTTGGGGAGCAAAGACTGGGCGGTGTTTGGCTCTTGAAATCCTTTGGACAATAGTTCCCACAATCCGGCACTATTGCCCAGGCTGTTTGGGGTTGATAAGAGCTGTAAATCAAAACATAGTGAGTCAAATGTCCCCCACCTTTGTTTTAGGGAGATCCTCTTAACATCTGTTTTTTTCTAGTAGAAACTGCCTCTGGTTAAAGTTCTGAAAATCCATTAGGGTTTTAAATATGTAGTAACTGGGTATGAAACTTAGTTAACATGAATGTTGATTTTGAATAGTTTAGTTTTATCTTGGTCTATTACTGTAAACTGCCCAGAGTAGTACTTTGGTACTAATGGGGAATGGTATACAAATTTAAATAATAAAATAAATAAAATAAAAATGTTTTTGAATACCCTTCCTCCCCCTTGCTTGTCACTGGAGATGATTTACAGATTCAGAAACTATAAACAATAAAGGAAGTAAAAGGAAGAGCAAAGAGTTCACTACAGAGAAAAGAACTTTTAAAAATTAAAGGAACAATGAAATCTTGATTGCTCAAGCGAAGAATAATAAAGAAGGGACCAAACTAACCTTCCCTGGGGAGGAATTTCTTAATCATTTTGGTGCAATAGAAAAGGCCCTGTTAAGAGCGCCCACAGGCAAGTCTCTCTTTTTTCAACTACAAAGCAGAGGTGGGTATAAATTGGGGAAAGTAATTTTCAGAATTATATGCAAACTTGGCTCCCTGCCGTTCCATATCTCATGTTCAGCTTTCCTCAGTCATGCAGTGTTGAGATGTATTGGGATAAAATACACATAAGCTAGCATGGCCAGAACACTGGGGTGAACTTCACCTTTTTTCATGGGTCCACATAGTTTGGCACAACTGCAGCCAGTATATAGTTCTTCAGCCCTTTAGAGAGGGACAGATTTCCTTCCTAAGATAAAAAGGAAATTAACCCTGAGTGCTCACTGGAAGGACAGATCCTGAAGCTGAGGCTCCAATACTTTGGTCATCTCATAGGAAGAGAAGACTCCCTAGAAAAGACCCTGATGTTGAGAAAGTGTGAAGGCAAGAGGAGAAGGAGACAACAGAGGACGAGATGGATGGACAGTGTCATTGAAGCTACCAACATGAATGACCAAACTCCAGGAGGCAGTGGAAGACAGGAGGGCGTGGCATGCTCTGGTCCATGGGGTCATGATGTGTCGGACACAACAACTAAACAACAAAAGATTTTCCTTCACACATTCATATGTAATTAATAAAATAGGCAGAAAGAAAAGCCTTATCCAGTGGATAAAAAGAACCAGAATTGGGTAATGCTGGCATTTCCCCCCCAAAACAACCTCTGTAGTTCTGCTTTTTACATGGTGTTGTCCTCTGCAGACATTAACAGATGAGAAAGCCTGTCCCTGGGATTTGACAGTCATTCCTGCCAGTTTCTGCAGACCAAATCAGCCATAGTGATAGTGAAGAGCCAGCTGGTTGAGAGCTTTATAGAGGGTTGAGGGATGTCCAACTCCAAGGATGTCCAATTCCAAGGGCTGGCCTTGTTTCTGTCTATGAAATGAATGCTGGAAACTACAAGTTAGGCTAGTTAATCCTCAACAACAACAAAAAGGCCAATACTGCTATGGAAAGAGAATGGATGAAGAGAATGATCATCTTGCACTCATACTTGCAGATGAATTTGAAAGGAATTGCTCAGGCTGCTAACCATTAAATACCAATAGTTATTTTTATTTATCTAAAATAGTTTTATTCTAGCTTTCTCCTTAAAAATGAATCAATGAAGCTTACATCATTAAATGATGATATATGTATACAGTATTTAAGTACAATATGGTTACAATTATAAAGGAATTCTAAAATAAATTCAAATAATATTTTGGAAATGCAGCAATGAGCACAAATGCAAAAAGACACAATACCATGCTATGGATTTGTATTTTCTGTGTATTGCGTTTGGGAATGAGCAGGGAAAGGGAGGGGAGTATTTTAAATTTATTTATTATACTTATATCCCGCCCATCTAGTCTTTGACTACCCTGGGTGGTTCACAACATGTGGAATAAAACAATTAAAATATAACAACAATTTACAACAATAAACAATCATTCAAAATTGTTTATTTTAACAGTATAAAATTAAGTTTATACTGCAGAAAGGTTCAATGGAACTTACTGGGAAAACACTTTATGTCCGTGGAGAAGCTTGCAGGCTGTGAAATGTAAAAATTTGCTTCCCTGTTCATACACATTCATTTACATGAAGGTGCATGAGCAGGATCCTGAATTTGTTTTCCACTTGCAAGTTTAATTACTGAACTCTTGAATAGAGGGCTGGAAATTTTTATCAGTTTACTTGAGCAAAACTTTAAACATCACACAACAGAGAAGCATGGCATTTAACACCAAAACCAAGCATCAAAGTAAAAAGATACATTGGAGTACAAGGTATACCATTGGAGCAAGTATTTCTCACGGGTGAATATCTTGCAGAAATAACAACAAATAGTTTATAGGGCATAAATTTTCATGGAGTGCAGCCTCCTTTCTGGACTATTGCCAAACAAAATGTCTTTAAGGTGCCATGAGATGATATACAAATGCAGAAAGTTTGCATTAGGTATACAAGCAGAGTGTCCTTGACACTTAAAAGACACCCAGAGCTGCCTTAGGTGATAAGACAGTAGCTTTTCAAGCTTTCTCAGATTTTCCTTCTTTTTCTGAACTGAAGGGCAATAAGGGGGAAACCATCATATTCTTTTTGTCCTTCCTGGATGTGGTTTTGTTGCCAAGATGCCTTTTCCGTCTCCCTTTTGTTAGTTAAGTAAGCCCCATAGCCCAGGTAGTTGATGCATAATGACTTTTCTTTGGGCCCCTCCAGGTCTAAGGGTCTGGGATCTTCATGTGGCCTGGTCTGCAGTCATTCTTTTGAAGAGGGTGTATTTAAGCTAAGTAAGTGGCTGGCAGATTCAGGAGGGGCCTTGTTTCCAGCAGGGCAGTTAATAGTAAAACAATAGAAGCTCAAAAAGTGTGGTTGCCCAGGCCAAATCCCTGTAGGGAGTCAGGAGCCTCTTTGCTAATGAAAGGTTTCCAACTGATTAGTTATTTCACAATGGGCCATAATTCCAGCCAATTAGTTCTCTCTTTCCTCGCAAAACCAAGGGAGTAGGGACATAAGAAAAACTAAAATGGATTAGACCCATAGACTATCTATGCTGGCCATAATTCTGTTCCAGTCCATGATTCAGTGGCATTTTGGGCTCTCCCACCACTTGAGAAAGGAAGAGAAGAGTCTGCTACCCCTCCCATCGCCTTCTCCCCTGGTCCCTTGTAGTGCCACCCCAGTGCTGTCTTTCCCCCACCTCTACCTCCCTCTTCTTTTGCCGCCTGCCCGCCCTCTGAAGCTGCTTTCCCGACATTAGGAAGGCAGCCCCTTGAGGGGAGGGAAGAGAGAGAACGTCTGATGGCTGGGTGCCAGGAGCAAAGAAGAGAGATCCTGAATGCAAAGCAAGGGAAGGGAGAGGTGAGCGTGGAGGCCCTCCAGGAAGCGGGATGTGGTGCCATTCCCCCACTCCTGCCACGCTGTCCTGCTGCCTCAGGCAGGGTCTTCCCTGTCCATAGTGGATCAGTTGGGTGTGCATATTGCCCACAGAGATGTCTGTCTATCGAAAAGTTTATTAACACTTCCTGCTCAGAGTTCAGAAAATGTGACTTTCTTGGACTACAACTCAGAGAAGCCCCAAAGGACTGGTGGGAGATTCTGGGTATTATAGTCCACATAGTTCATATGCCACTCAGGGCCCAGCTGTTTCTGGTTCTGAAGGATGTTCACAGCCATCACGGCTAGTAGCAATTGATCGTTTGGCCGTTCATGAATTGGACTCACCAACCTTTAAAGCAGTTCAAGGGTAAGAATTACATAGGGATTTCCTGGACTGGCAGTGGGGCAGACTAGATTGCTTTTGAGATCTCCCTCATCTGTATGATTTTAAGGCGAGCAAATACAGAATTTGGACAGCATCTGTTAGGACAACATCATTTCTAGGTGCAGCAACACAAATGTGATTGCACTACAGATTTATATTAAGGGTGGTATGATCCTGGTAGTTTTATTTTCAACTCCTAATTATGCCCAACTTGTTTTTTAATTTTTTTTTCTAAATGGTGCCTGTGCTCTGGGTTCAAATGCAGCAGTGAGATGTGTGTGAGAAGACCATCCTAGACCAGCCTCCAAAGTGCTTATTTAGTTCAACACTGTTGGCTGGTGCTGGCCATATGCCGCCAGGAAAACCACAGGTAAGATGTAAAGGCAGTAGCATTTTCTGCCTCATTTTTTTTTAGCAAGCAGCA